TCCTGGGAATGCCTCCTTCTAAACCAAATCTACCATATTGATTTACATAAGCTCGTTCATAAACTCCTTGGTAATCATCCTATCTCAACATAATATACCACAAGCAAATATCAGTTTGCCTGAGCAAAACCAATCACTCCACTGTGATAGACATTTATGAGCCCAACATACACATTCTAATACAGCTTAATAAAAGCATATGTGTATAAATCACAAAAATGCCATCACAAAACACAATAAAATAGTTAAAACCGTTAGTTCACTTTATTAAGAACGTCTTTGGATCATAAACCTCCAAAGGATAAGTAATTGTAAAATATCCTTTAATAAAATACCAATATACGGGATCACATCCGTACCACATTATTAAAATCTCCCCTACTATTAGCAATAATTATTGCTCTTAACCTAGTCTTCCTCCTTGTGATCTGGTACCCTCCTGCTTGGACGGCCTGACATCTCCTCATTTAGGGCACTGCCTAGTAGTGTGGCCGTACTCTCCATAAGCATAGCAAGTACCCTTAAAAGTACCGATCGGCCTCTTCTGCTAGTTAGCCTGTGGCTGATCTCATCCTGCAGGTGGTCCCCCATTCTGTCATCGCTGAGCTAACCCAGGACACTGATTGGATGTATGCCCATCTTCTCCGCAGCCAAAACAATGAACTTGAACCGCATCCTGCACCACTGGTTCTGCTTCGAGTGTCCGTTGCATGTGTGACTGATTCTGAAATGCAGTTGCTACACCTGCAGCTATAGCTTGAGCAATGATGTACACTAGCTGAAGAGAAAACTCTGGATTACTGCCCAAACTGCAGGCCTGATGCCGAGACTCCTGAGTATGCTGAACTTCCTCATGCTCTATCAGCAACTGCCCATCTTCCTCCTGAAACCTAGGCACTTGCTGCTCTTCCCCCATTTGCCAATGCCGCAGGCGTTCTTGCTGCCTACGCGCTAGTCTCCTCTGTCGACTGTTCATGTTCTATCCTCATTCAGCGTTAACCATACTGTTAACATAGAAAGACAGACATCAGTACGATTGTAAACAGACTGTAAAGGAATTCAATGAATCCTAATCTTAAAGCTCTAAACAAGAGAGAATGCTACGCGGAAGTCTTACTACGAAACATCCTAGAGACATTTGAACCTGAAGTTCTCTGATACCAACTATGGTACCCTTCAGATCCGAGACACGGGTTGATCAGGCCCAGGACCCAAACCCGAGGGAATATCAAACGATTAATATTTTAAAACGAACACGGAATATAAAACGAAATAAGAATAAATAATAAAGCTGGAAGAAACTAAAATGAATTCCTTTAAAGTAAAAACTCAAATCCAAGAATCCAAAACCTTCAATAGTTTAAACAACTCGGGAATCCATCTCTAGTAGACTCCTAATAAATCCAAACTAAAATGAAACCACACAACAAGTACATTTAAAGTAAACCATCGAGAGAAGCCCTACGTCGTCGGAAGAGTGAGTGACGATCTTTGCTCAGCACGATCAAGCCTACGACTGGAACGGTTGAACACCTTCAATAGTTTAAACAACTCGGGAATCCATCTCTAGTGGACCCCTAATAAATCCAAACTGAAATGAAACCACAACAAGTACATTTAAAGTAAACCATCGAGAGAAGCCCTACGTCGTCGGAAGAATGAGTGACGATCTTTGCTCAGCACGATCAAGCCTACGACTGGAACGGTTGAACACCTGAAAAATAGAAGTGGGTCAGGCCCACGAATAAGTTCTAACCTACTACAATCCAAGCAGAGACTCGATATGCATGTACATCCTAACCAACTCAACAATAGCTAATAGTCCGTATATATATATATATATATATATATATATATATATATATATATATTCACACTAAAGAACTCTCACTGGACTACAGGCCGGTCTCAACCTGAATAGAGGTAACATGCAAAACGCACACGAAGTGGGCATGTGTACCTAATCCTAACAGGGTACACCTCCAACCATCATAGCCAGCTATGCATCCCAATGCATATACGCTCCCTAACCATCGATCTTGAGACTTAGGCTTATATCGAGATACCATAACAATATAATTAAAATCCATCCAAAATCCATAGTAATACTGCTCAACGTTGCGTTGCCTTGACACTACGAATCAAAAGGATTTAACTTTTAGTTAATCCATTCCTTAGTTCCAGAGTAGGTAGGAATTAGCGTTTCCCCTAGTATGTCACCGTCCCATACCGGTGCATACAATACATCCATCCAGCAGTTGATCATACAAAATATATATGTAAAATACAACTATTCCAGAAAGTCCACAATTGATAATAATACATTAAGTATAAACATCAATGATTCCATAATAAGCATGCTAATATTCTATAACTTAACAAGCTTATAACTACTACTTTCCAAGATCCAATAATTGGTAATTTATCACATACATGCAAACATCAATTATCCCCACAAAACATGCTAGAGCAGAGTATATATATAGGAACACACTGATTTAAGTCTACTCTAACAACCTCTCATAATTGACAACACATCTAATGTATGCAACTGTCAATTTATCCACAACAAGCAAAATTAAATATTTGTAACCTTGCATGCTTATAAAGAATTTCTGAACCATAATATCTGTATTCAATTCTCAAGAATTGCCATATGAAGACTTAGTAATTTAACATCTTTTACATCCGGAAACTGTAATCTAGTTTAGTTAAACTTTACCCATTGTTCAAGAATGAACCTCAACTGTTTAATTTGTTTTAGTTTGTTCTGTGAAGTTTTTATAAGCTTTTAGAACATCACTAAACACTCCATTACAGCCTCCAACAGAATCTGAAATTACCAAAATCCAAGTCTCGTAGCCCAAACGGTTGCCCAAAACTCAGAAAAATGGAAAAACTGGAAAGAGCCTGCTCCCTCAAAGAGGGAGCCTGCTCTTTCTTTCTTAGAGCCGGCTCCCCACCATGGGGAGCCGCCTTCTTGCCTTCTAGAGCCGGCTCCCTCTAAGAGGGAGCCTGCTCTTTCTTCTGGGGAGCCTTCTCCCCTTTTGGCTCTCCTCTGTTCCTCGTCTCTTCCACCTCTGGCGGTTCTCCGATGGCCTATCCTCCACTCCTAGGGTGTCTAGGTATTTAAACCAAGTTCCAGCATGTTCAAGAGGCAACCTAATTCATTATACAACTACCCACATCAAACTAATCAAGTATTGTATACCAAGAACTGCAACCGATTACTTTAGCGTTCAAATTTACTTACTGCTTCAGACAATTCAAGCTTACAAACAGATTAATTTTAATGTTATTACAAGGTGTTTCAGATTAATCTAACCCCTTATACATCAACAGACAAGAACTAAATCAAGACATATGAAAGAAACAGTATACAACAAATAATTCAAAACGTACAAACACGTTCAGTTTTTTGAAGCATCCAAACATATATTAAATTTTGATTTTAAACTTGATTAAATCCTAGAGTTGCATTAGGCATGTAAAGAACACGAGCCTAAGAGATAAAATTAGGATTAGAACTTGCCTTACACCGACGTCTTTTTAAAATCCTCCGGCGAACTCTCTGCTTGCTCTCTCTCTGCCTCCACAGAATAACTTACGTTTTGTTTTATTTTGTTTTAAACCCTAACCCGCCGTATTATGCATATTTATAGGCATTGACATTAAACCCCAATCCATGCATAACTATAGGTCTAGCTACAATTATAGTTGGCTCAACCAATTAATTTAAGTAATTAATATAACACAAAAAATAATAAAAATTGACTTGGCCTGGCCATATAGGATACGGAGTATAAATTGGCAGTTTGAAAGATCTATTGGTCTGTTCGTACACAATATCCCAAGCCGATAACTTGATGCCACTTGCTAGCAGCTTTGGACGGAGAAGCACATTTATATGATTATATCCACGTTTTAGTCACAAATAATAAACAATCAAACAGAAATAAGATAAAGTAAAGTTGTTAAGCAAACAAATCAATGATCAATCTATAGTGTTCATTATTATTATTATTATTATTTTGGTAAGTAACTTCCACTCATTCTTGATTGCACAAACCTCACATTTCTCTCTTAAATTTCTAGACCTAAAGCTTCGTGCATTATAAATAAATAAATAAATTGAGTCCTCTAATGCCCCACATATTATTTTTCATAATATAATATTTTAGCAGCTACAATGGTGGGCATAATCGAGTTGTCAAAGGACACTATCATGTGATAATCCGTCTTATGGTACCCGTTTGTTTTATCTTGTCTAATATAATAATTGTCGATATATAATATCTATATGAAATTTTAAATAATATATTCATGGTATACTCAAATTATCCTTATAGAAGAAATTCAAATTCACTCAATTTGATTTTATGAAAATTAACCTTACTCAAATTACCCTTCTAGAAGAAATTTAAATTTACTCAATTTGATTTTATGAAATTTAACCTTTAGGAGGCAATTATAACAAAAACTCTAACCTCACTCACATTGCCACTTTTTAAAGTTTAATTTTGGAGTCACTTCTAAAAAAATGTTTTAGGTATTTGTCAAATACATATAGCGAATAAATATTCGATGATAAATTTTCAATGTTCTGCTCAACTCTATACCAAATAAATTAATAATGTACTGTTTAAAGTGTAATTTTGGAGTCACTTTTAAAAATTTGTTTTAGGTATTTGTCATATATATATAGAGAATAAATATTGGATTGATAAATTTTGAATGTTCTGCTCAACTCTATACAGAATAAATTAATAAATAAAATTAGAATTGGTTTGAATTACTAAGTGTTCTAGAAAACTTGACACTATAGTAGAAAAAATAAATAAATAAAAATAAAAATAAAATTGGTTGTGTTTACAAACAAGTGGTTGAACCATCGTTATACCTTTGCATAGCTTTTCAACTCTGTTTACCTCTTTTATTTTTTTTTAACCAGTCAAAACAAGCTCAAAAGCAAGCAAGAAAGCAAGAACAATAAATGTAGACACGATACACCAACTATTACCAAGATTCATCCAATTCTAGTTATTTTAACATAAATGTTGAACATCAATGCTTTCCCACATCCTCTTTTACCATTCCAATCCATAGAAGTCCAAGTCAACCCAGGGTTTGAATTATTGCCCAATTGGGTGGGTCTCAAGAGTCTCCATCTTGCTATGGACTTTTGCTCTCTGATTTGATAGTGTAGATCCATGGAGCTGAAATTGCCAACTGATAGAGAGTTGCCTTTCAAAAGGGTTGTGGAAGTTTCAACAGCTTCTGGAAATCTGTCGCTCTTAGCTACAGAATTGGCCTTCAAAACAATATATTATTGTTTGCATGTCTTCTCTCTCTCCTGGAGGCTGTAAATAGAGAAGTGGGTTGTCTTTGTTTTTGGTGGTGTAATCTGTTTTGAGGAAATGGATGGTGTTTTCATCACTCTCCTCTTGTTCTCTCTCTCACTGTTGCTTCCTCATCCTTCTTCTTCACTCCCATTATGTACAGACTTGAGTGAGTTTCTCTGTGTTTGTGATATTTTAGTTATCTTATGCTGTTAATTTTGCTGAATTTGTGCGTGTTAGTGTGTGTATGTGATATTTTAGTAGTCTTATGCTGCTAATTTTTTCTGAATTATGTGTGTGTTTGTGTGATATTTTAGTTGTATTGTGCTGCTGATTTTGCTGAATTCTGTTTCAATTTAAATAGGAGCACCTCTGATCCCAAAGACGCCTCTGACCTTCTGTCCATACAATGGGAGAGTCTGCTGTGACTCAGCCCAAGATTTGCAGTTGCAGAAGCAATTTGAAGCGATGAATATCTCGGATTCTGGTTGTGGTTCTGTTGTGAAATCAATCCTCTGCGCGGTTAGTTTGTGTTTGCATTTATGTCTCAATGAAATTTAACATTTACTGTAATGTTGCTTGATTTGTCTGGAAACCTATAGGTCACTTGTACAATCTAACCCACTATTGCACCAATTGTAGATTGATATATATATATATATATATATATATATATATATATATATTATGCAATCATAAGATGAATGAAGACTGACATAATCCAATCATAGAAAGATTTGACTCTAGTATGGGTTGCACAAAGCTGAAACTAATTGTGAACTTGTATCAGCTTTCCTAAACTATGCATTACAATTAGAACAATACTAGTAAATTAACAAAGTAATCATTTCAATTGCATGGTATGTTGCTATGAAACTAACATCTGACTTCCTTTATCATGACAATAATGTTGTTCAAGTTTATCAATTTATTGTATTGGGAGAATATGAATAATAAGGACATAGCTGCTTGATAACTCGGGATTAGGGTGTGTTATTTCTGTTCTTTTTGAAGCCCCTCCCAAAGTTCGTCATAGCTATGAAGCTTTTCCTAATTATGATTTGAACTATTGATCCTCAAACTTAATTTATTTCAAATTTGTTATGTGTAAAGTGATCTGCTAAAACTCTGCATCATGTTATTTTTGGATTTTCATCACTTGCAGATGTGCGATCAGTTCTCAGCGCAACTATTTGATGTTGAATCAGGGCCTCGACCAGTTCCGGTTCTTTGCAATTCTTCTGTTTTAGCAAACTCATCCCTGTCAAAAACTAGTGACTTTTGTTCATCTGTCTGGGAGAAATGCCAGAATGTAGCTATAATAAATTCTCCGTTTGCCCCTTCTTTACAAGGTAGAGGTGGAGTGCCTCAAAATTCCACTTCTTCCAAGCTAACCGATCTCTGGCAATCAAAAAGTGATTTTTGTCATGCATTTGGTGGTGCCTCTGATGATGGTTCATTTTGTTTCGATGGTGAACCAGTTTTGCTTAACAATACTGGAACTCCACTTCCCCCGAAGGGCCTATGCCTTGAGAAAATTGGCAGTGGGTCATTATACCTTAACATGGTTCCACACCCAGATGGGACTAACCGTGCCTTCTTTTCTGATCAACCCGGTAAAGTATGGTTAGCAACTATTCCGGAACAAGACTCAGGAGAATCGCTAGGACTTGATGAATCTACTCCATTTGTAGATCTAACAGATGAAGTTCACTATGATACCAGCTTTGGGATGATGGGAATGGCTTTTCATCCCAATTTTTCTCAAAATGGCCGATTTTTTGCTTCATTCAATTGTGATAAGGTTAAAAATCCAAAATGCACTGGAAGGTGCTCGTGTAACTCGGATGTGAATTGTGATCCTTCAAAACTTGAACCCTCTAGTGGAGTTCAGCCATGCCAATATCATAGTGTAATTGCAGAATTTACTGCTAATGGGACCGCATCTGAGCCTTCAATGGTAACATTATATTAACCTTTTCAAATTGGTATGTTGATGAATTTCAATTTTCAAGATTTTGGCTGACTTGAATTTCGATCTATTTATAGGCAAAAAGTGCCAAACCATTAGAAGTCAGAAGGATATTTACAATTGGCCTTCCATCTACATCTAGTCACGGAGGCCAAATTCATTTTGGACCTGCAGATGGGTATTTATACATCATGAATGGGGATGGTGGACTCAAAGACGATGCCTATAATTTTGCTCAAAACAAGAAATCATTGCTTGGGAAAATTATGAGGGTCGATGTAGATAACACACTAAGTGAGTATTATGGCACAGAATAGTTCGTTTTCCGTACGTGGCTTTTTATTTTATTTACTAACTTTCTACTGCATTTTGCATATTTGTTTCTATATGGAGGTTATTTTCAGTGCATTTCCTATATGCCTGGTGAATCTTTGCCTGGCTTCTTTTCTTCTCCAATTGTTGGGCAGCATTTGGAGTAATCAATGTGATATATACTTGAAGAAAAGAAAATGATAAGAGGTTATATATTTCAGAATAAATTTTCTTATTTGTAGTTATTTAGATGAAGAAACATAAGATTTTGGGCTCACGCCTTTAGAACTGTGCCTCTTGCATTTGGAAATTCTCACTCAATCTATATAAGAACACAGCTTGGATGGTATTACAAGTGAATCTACTTTAGTTGGAGTTGAGAATATGCATGCAAAGAGTGATTGTGAATCTCGTGATGCTCTTGGTGAATCATTATTGTAATTTACCTTTAATATTTCATAAATTTACTTCAAAATAAATTATGGTTTGTTATTCCCTTGTATTGATGGACAAACCAAAGGGCCTTACTCATTTCTTCATATCTCCCTTGTATTTTCACTGTTGCTGTGCATTTTTCAGGTGCAGCAGAAATTGGTGACCTTGGGCTATGGGGAAACTATTCTATCCCTAAAGATAATCCTTATTTTGAAGATAAGGAATTGCAGCCTGAAATATGGGCCTTAGGACTGAGAAATCCTTGGCGTTGCAGCTTTGATTCCGAGAGGCCTTCCTACTTCATGTGTGCTGACACTGGCCAGGTTCAGAAAATTTATTTTCGTTATTATTAACATAATTTCATTTATTTTTCTGTCTCTTGATATGATAAAGTTAATTTGTAGTTTTGACCAATTATTCCCAAATTATTGATGATTCATGACAATTCCTGAGCTCAATATGCCTGTATGCTCTTAAATGCTTTGTAACGTTGTCGTAGTGCCTTGCATTGATTAGTGTAAACTGCTTGGTTTACAGATATGACCAAAACTTCAATGCTATTGTATGTCTTATGCTCACAATCATTGTAAATGCTATAGAATCGATATGAAGAAGTAGACATTATCACCAAGGGTGGGAACTACGGATGGCGTATTTATGAAGGCCCCCTCCTCTTTGACCCTAAGCAAGCTCCTGGAGGAAACACATCTGCAGATTCCATAAACCCAATCTTCCCCGTGATGGGATATAACCACTCGGATATAAACAAGAATGAAGGATCTGCAGCAATATCAGGCGGCTACTTCTACCGCTCCATGACTGATCCGTGCATGTATGGAAGGTGAGAGAACAAACACCCTCCCTAGTTTGTATGTGGTTAGCTTGTATAAACTCATCAACCATCTTTAACTGATAGTAGTTTTGTTCAGTTACTTGTATGGAGATCTGTATGCCAATGCTATATGGGCAGCAGCAGAAACCCCGAAAAACAGTGGGAATTTTACTACTTCAACAATACCTTTCGGTTGTGCTCGTGATTCTCCTATACAGTGCACCTTCAAACCCAGTAGTACTCTTCCTGCTTTGGGCTACATATACTCTTTTGGACAAGATAACAGGAAAGATGTTTACATTTTAACAAGCAGTGGTGTGTATAGAGTCGTTCGTCCAAGTCGCTGCAATTATACTTGCTCGAAAGAAAACGTGACAGCCGTTGCGAATCCGGCTCCTCCTCCGGCTTCTTCATTCAGTCAGCTGACCAAGCCACAAAAGGAGTTGATGCTCTTCCTTTCTTCACTATTGCTTCTGGTAGGCTTTATATTGTAGCTGCATCAGCGGATAAGATGTCATGATATTAGTGAACACCTTTATCTCTCTTCCTTTTAATTTGAGGTATTTTAGACCCACACTTAGTGGATGTCTTAAAGTTATGTATATGAACAAAACCTTTATTTTATGGAAAGTAGGAAGTGGCTACTCAGCTGTTTTTCATACTTTCTTTAATATGGACAAAACCTTTATTTTTTGGAGAACCTTGCAGGTTCACTGTACACTAGAAAATATTTGCAACTTGCACCACATAATAAGAATAACAATCTCCAAGAGAGAGATTAGATTTAATTTGTAAATAGTAATAATAATAATAATAATAATAATAATAAATTGCATAAAGTTTCGTTGAAGAAATATGATACACATAACATGGGTCCTCATTCCTTGCAATTAAACGACTATCTTGTAACGAATACAACATATTCTTGTGTTAACTCCATGCCATAGTTATCTGACATTGGATTTTCAAAGGTATATCTCACTGTGAAACAAAGTAAAAACCCCACAAGTTCAAACAGTAAGTATCTTTTGGTGAAAAGCGAGCTCAAGTTGATCAACCTCTCTCGCAACAAGCATGCATAAAAAACCCCATGGTTCACTTCCCAAGTTTAAGAAGTCTACTCAGACGGGCCAGAGATGATTGCATCAGGTTGCGTCAATGTCGATTCATGCTTAATTCCCATTTCATTTGGTCAAGCAAACTTAATTAACATCTGCTCCCAATAACTCCTGTGCCCTTGAGGTGTATGTACTCCCAGTAATTTCTAAGCACCAGCTTCTGGTTGTCTTCTTGGATTTGTACAGACATGCAAATGCCCGTCTCCTGATGGTATATTCATCTACTCTTGCACCGAATTACTCCGTGTCTGCAATACCAGAGTTTTCTGTGAGAGTGCCCTCATGATAACTCTTTCTTATAAACAATATATGATTGACATGAAGCCAGCAAAATTAACATCATTAATATTTGATTTAAAGATATAAATCAACTAGCCATGCCATCCCATCCAGACCTCAATTGACTTTTTCAATCACATAAAACTCAAAATACTAATGTATGCACTAAAAGTTAAGATTAAGATTGAACTTACATTTCACATAAAAATTGGGTGTTTGTTGCACAAGCGCGGTTGGATCTCTTTTCAGCCTTAAGAAACACCCTTTCTTTAACCCTTCATCAGTTGTCTGCATTTTGTATAGAGGATTCTAAGTGAAGCAATGGAATATATTCTAAAACAAGTATTATGACCTGACAATGACAACCAGACTTGTACAAAAAATGTGAGAGAAAAAAGGAAAACCTTTTATGATGTACATTTCTTCTAAACGTACAAAACAAACCCGAATCCCAACTAACTAGGACATTATTTTGTCAACACAAGATGCCAGCAATTCTACTTTACTTGGTTTATATTATTTGATGCCATCATGTAAAATTATAAACTTTTTGGTTCAAATGCCATGTAGAACACACACCGTATCCACCTGACATCCAAAAAGTTTAAGAACCAAAAAATTCCTTAAAAAAATGGTTGAAAAGCAGATGAAGTTGTATACTGTTCGTAATAGAACAGATGAAGAATTATGGATAATACTTTCAGGAGCAAGATAAATCACCTTCTACACAATAAAGTTGGATGTAAAAAGTGAATGCCTATGTTGATTGCTCGAGAGGGAACAACTAATTTTGAAATCAAGTATCCTACCATTAATTTGGAGAATAGGAGCAAAGACTCACTTTGATAATTATATGTCACAATCTTACCTTTAAAATGTAAATCTAATTTAGAAATCAAGTATCATAGTATTAAAGGGGAGAAGAAGAACAAAGAGAAAAGGAGAGATGTAGAAGTGTTCATAATGGCTTTTAGTGACCATTTTGACACCGTAATTAACTGCAATGGCCAACATGCAAACATAACGTCCTGAACAGTTGTGAATTTCACTCATAGTGTCAGAGTGATGGAATGGTATTGGCCAATTTTTTAATACCAGCGGAAAAGAGACTCAATGATTTACTCCCTCTCCAAGAGGGAATCTGGCAAAAAAGAAATTGAATCTATGCTGCCCCCATATTGTCTCTTCAACTGCAAGTAACACAAAAAAAAAAATAGATTACTTCTGGGAGCAGAATATCCCTTTTCATTTAACTTTACCTAGTTAAAACCAAACAGCAGGAAAATTAAAGCAAGTGTATTTTAATATCCTATGCAAATACTACTGAGCTTTTTAGTTGGCTATAACTGTATAAAGTTCCAAATAACCTAATAAAAATGTATATGCAACTCAAACCCCAAGCAACCCTAACTTCAACTCATTCCAAATTCCGAACAGGAAAAACAGAATAAACCCCAGAAATGTGAAATAATCACATGCAACCCTAGAAAATATTAGTTCCTCTTCTTCAAAACAGGATAGTCCTGGGCAAGCATTCCTACTGCATGATTGCATTCAAGATCTTTGAACAAACAAGGCAAGGAAAGTAGATTAATCCAATCTGCTTTTCCAACGATCCTCATAAGCCTCTCAGTTATTGCTCATAAAACACTGCATCAGATTCTTGCTCATTTTATAGAGTAGTTCTTTCGATTCTAACCTTCATCCCAGAGTTTTTTGTTACAGTTTTTTATTTTCCTGAGGGAATAAAAATGTTCAATTGATTATATAGAAAGAAACCAGAAAATGCTGCAATATTCCTAGACCTTAGATATTTAAGGCTATTTGTCCATATTATAAATTATTTAATCCTTGTATCATTTTGCTTCTGACTCTTCAACGAGTTGTGGTTAGTTCATGAACATATAGTATTTTTTATTCATTTCTACATTTTTTACTTATAGTCACTAAGAGTATAATATAGAAATTTACATTAGTTGGTTCCTACTTTGTCTAGTCACGCAACTAAAAACATTTTTTTCTTGTATTACATGACCATTTTAAAAATTCTTGCCAAGTATTGGAAGAAATTGTGATATGGAAGATCACTGTCAGAGAAAATATCTATATTATTATGTATGTTTAAATTTAAACAATAACATGATGTCCAAAGATGCATACCACCATAACTATCAAATTGCTGCTAATGACTACTTGTACAGAAACAATATAAAACAAATAATGGAGTCTATTGAAGACAACAAAAGACAGGAAAAAGATTACCGTGGTTTTGGGTCGATGAGGTAAGTGGGTCTTAGGATCCCATCATCTGAGGCCATGCAAAAGAAAGCTAAAAGCTTTTGTCCACAACAATTCCATCAAAGCATCACAGACAAAATCAAGCTATGTGATCCCATTGTTAGGTTTACCCACAAGACATTTCTCAATTGCTTCATCACAAAGCTCAAGAGTTATATCCATGTTCCCTTCTTCATAGTTCATATCAACAAAAATGTTATATAATTCTGCATCTGCAACCAGACCTTCTCTCCTCATTTCTTCAAACAATTCCCTTGCCTCCAAAAATTTCTTCCTCTTAAAGAATCCCTTAATTAATGCATTATAAGAAGCAACTGTGAGATTAATTCCCTTCTCAACCATTTCTCGGTGCAAAAACAATGCCTCCTTCATATTCCTTGCTTTACTATGTCCTTTTATAAGTATGTTATAGGTGTTGCTATTGGGCATCACCCCTCGAGCGCACATCCCCCTATATATTTCAGTTGCAGAACGCATATTCCTTTTAATGCAGTAGTGCTTCATGAGAGAATTGTATGTGGCAGTATTGGGCATAATACCCTTCTCCAACATCCAATTCAGTAACCTTTCACCGTCTTCTAGCATCCCTGACATACAGAATCCATTCATCAATACACTGAATGTAACAACCGTGGGTTGAAGCCCTCTGTCCAGCATCTCCTGAAGGAGTTCATGAGCCTTAACCATTTCTCCTGATTTACAATAAGCATCCATTAGAGTAGTATAAGTAATAGTATCAGGATGGAATCCTGCTACATCCATGTCTTCCATTAGCTTTATTGCCTGTGGTATATTTCCAACTTTACAGAAACCATTAACAAGTGCGTTGTAAGTGCAAATATTCAGCTCAAGACCCTTTCTGCACATCTCATGAAGAAGCTCGTTTGCTGTATCTACCTCCCCAAGTTTGCAGAGCCCATCAGCCAATGCAGTGTAAGTGACAACATTTGGAGTCAGCCCCATTTGAACCATCTGGTTGTGAAGCAAGAAGCCTTTTTTCATCTCACCTGCCTTGCAGTAACCATCAATCAGTGCTGTATAAGTAACTTCATCTGGTTGCAATCCTTTATCTAGCATTTCATGGAAAAGTTTATCTGCTCCCACCATCTTTCCATTTTGACAAAGCCCACAAATAACAGCAGTATATGTTATGAAATCAGGAATAATTTTCTGATTCTGCATTTCATCAAACAGATTATATGCAGCTGAAACATTCCCAGCTTTGCAGAAACCACCGATGAGAGTTGTGTAGATCACATTATCTGGGGCTATTCCCTGTCTCATCATCTCCCTAAGTATCCTCTCTGCATCCAAAACCATACCAGTCTTACAAAGAAGAAGGATAATGCTGTTGAATGTAAATGGGTTTGGCTTCAATCCCTTCATCTGCATTTCTTCTACAAGCTTCAATACAGTTTGAAGCTCCCCAGTATGACAATATCCGTCAATCACAGTGCTGTAACTTATAACATCAGGCATACATCCCCTGAACTCCATTTGCAGGAGAAAGTTATGAGCTTCTTTTACTTTCCCTAATCGACAAAGTGAGTTGATCATAATATTATGTGATGCAGTGTTCCAACAAACACCCACTTCAGTAAATTCACCAACAAAATTTAGTATCATCTCAAGCCCATCAGAATTGTTTGATAGACGCGAAAGAAAAAAATTACACGAATCAACAGATATAATCAACCCGTAATTCAACATCTTATCAAAAAAATTCCTTGCTTCATCAAGCAACCCAACTTCAACAAGGACTTGGAAGAAAATATCAAAGACACAAGGATTAGAACCCCAATCCTTATAAGTATATATCAACCTCTCAACAAAATGAACAAATGAAAGACTAACATCTAGATTGGATTTTATCCAAAAATTGTGAATAAGACTGTGTGCCATCTTTGGATCCTTTGCAGCAACGGCAATTTGAATGACAATGCAACGGGCTTCTAGTGACGGGTCCCTGCGTAGGCACGCCCAGTCGAAGAAATCCAAAACTAGTCTGTAATCATTCTTTATGTTCATGAGAACCCAAATCAGGTGGTCAGGCCTGAATTTCAATTCATAGGGTTTCAGAATGCGGCGGATGGGCTCAGAGCGTCGTTGCTTAATGGCAGTGGAGATGTGATGGACGAGTTCAGAGTCTCTAATGGTGGGTTTCTTTGGTGAATAATCAGGAAAAGGTCTGGTACTAGTTGAGCTTAAGGATGATAGTCTTTGGACCAAACAACCTCTAGAGAACAAGATAAATGGGAGAGGATTCTGAGAAGAACGCACGCGAGGCTGAGAAGAGAATATTTCATAAAGATGGCCTGAGAAGGCAATGGCACAACACTTCATCTCTATGAGAGGGACCCATCAAATAGAATTTGAGTTGGTGTTTGACAATGCAGTGGCTCTCCGCCATGTAGAAGAACCAAAGCAAAGAGGCCTCTTCATCAGTCCACCTGTATAAGTAACAATTGTGTCATACTTGGATTTGTGCACATATCAGAAAGAGTAGATTGTATCATATAGCCCCTCCATCCCAATTTATTAGTCCTTTTTCGGGATTTTAACTTTTTAAGGAGACATGTTTGAAATTGCCAAGTAACCCTCTGAAGTTTATATATATATATATATATATATATATGTATGTATTATCGAAAAATCATCAAAACTTAATAAATTATTATCGAAAAATCATCAAAACTTAATAAATTATTTAGGGAAAGATGCAGTTACCTGATTTTGAGGGACAACCAAAAATGGAAAATGGGACTAATAAATTGGGATGTAGGGAGTAGCAAATATATTACAAAACAATAAACAATATCCTCTTTCTCTCTAACTAGATTTAGTTAAAGTCATCAATACATTTCAATATCAACCTTTACTCATGCACTAATAAACTCACTCGTGCATTTTGCATGATCATTCAATCCATAAAGTAATATAATTACATATAGCAAAGAATTGGCCAGAGAATCCTAAGAAGGTGGAGGAACACGAGTTGTCAAGATAAAGAAGAAAATAATGATAAGGAACCAACAATTTTCTCTTCTTAAAAAACATATATCCTCCACACTTAATCAACATTTGATAAATTCCTTAGTAATTATTAGTTATTGATGGCAGTTTACTCCATTAGCTAGTACTCGTTCGGCTATTCAGATGGTGACCAATATTTTTTAGGTATAAGTTACACATTTTATGTGGATCTAGCATTCAACAATATATAACATTTCATAAGAGATGTTAAAGAGGGCTAGTTGCTCAGTCATATAAATGCTAATGCGGCAATAATGTTTCTCATAGTGGTTCACCTTCATATTTTCGTGGTCTCTACTATTAGCAGACCAATCTGCCTTCAGTCTTTCTCATTGTCTCTCTCATATTTTCCATGTTCTATCAGGACTTGAAGCATGCACTTCTATGGCTCTACCTATGGGGTGATAGGAGATAGCACCCAAGCCAACAAGTGATGGTATTGCCAATAATGAACCAATTTTGGCCACAAAAACTCTTGAAAAGGCCAAATTGTAGCAGTGCATTTCCTTTTTCATTAGGTTTTACAATGACTAGTTACTTATGTATGATATACGATTGTTTATAACGTGAAACATGCTTGTCTTCAATTTCTCAAGTTCAATCAGAAATGATGATGAATTATTCTATGAAAAAAAAAAAAAAAAAAAAAAAAAACAATTAACACAATTGAATAAAAAAAAAAATACTGAGTTTTTCATCAGTAAAAGAAACATATAAATATTGAACTCCATGAAATTATTTTCTTTCAAGCATTCTACCAAACAATTATTGAGCAACCAACAACAACCCAGAGCATTGAACACTAAAGACCAAACTGCCTAAAAAGAACTAGCTTTTGGTGAAAACCCAACTCCAGAATCATATTAGATTGGTCTTTCCATCGTCTATTCAAAGTGAAACCAGATTTTGTATTGCTAAGAAATCTTCCGAAAGGAAAACCCATTGTTAATTAGAAAAATAAAAAATAAAAATCATGAAATCCAAACAAATAAAACAAGGCCGGCCCTGAGATTGAAAAAATCTCGAGAGGCCCTAGGCGAACTTTAATGTGAGGCCCTTTATACATAAAGTTTCACACGCACAAAAATAAATGTCTATTTTTTGAATCCTTAGGAAAATTTTCAAGTTTAGCATCTCTTGGAGGACCTCTTTCAACTAATAAATCTCTCATTTTTTTATCAATATTTTTCCAATTTCCTGGATCATTAATGTTCAAAGGAAGATTATCATTCTCATTCATATATATTTTTCATTTACCAAATCTTCAAGTTCATTCACATTTTCTTTATTTTGATTCTCATTCATATCTTCATTCATTAAATCTCCATGTTCATTAAGATTTTCTTCATTCCTATGTTCTTCATTCACCAAATCTTCAACTAAACTCTCTGTTTGTGTATTGTTCCTAAAAAGCTTATGAATAGGTCTTTTTGAGATTGAATCAATTTTTCTTCTCTCTTCTTTTTTTTTTCTTTTTTCTTTTTTCTTTTTTCATGCCCAAATTCAAATTTTCTTGCAGACATAAATGATGACAAAAAAATAAAATAAAATAAAAAAAACAGAAATAGAAGTTATAGAATTAATATATATATATATATATATATATTTGTTTTGTTGAAATAAAATGTAGATTACCTCAAAATATAATGCAATGAATATGACACTATAATACATTTTACTGTGCCCCTTCACACTAACACTCAAATCAAGCTCCTCCAAGTTGCTCAAAGCACAGAAGTCTACAAAAAATGAAAATTTTGTTGTTTATATATTAATAAATTTTGTTACTTTATATTGTACTTTGTTTCATATACAATTGGGTGCCCATATTAATTGACAGATTTATTATTAGCATGAAAAAAATTGGAAATATATATATATATATATATATATATATATATATATATTGAATAGTTGAAGAAATGACTTACCAGTCTGAAGTGATGAAAGCACTCTAAAAGATGGTAGGACCGTAGGATGCTGTAATTGTAAAAATTATAATCCACGATAAGGGCCTTCAGCTTGTTCAAGACTCAAGTTCAACCCAAATTTACCAATTAGTCTTTCAAATCCTGCAAAGGGAGATCCTGTTTCAGTCATTATCTTCACAAATATTTATAACTAAAATTCATAAAAATAAAAATTATATAAAAAAAGATCATAAAAAATTTCACCAAATAGGATTTAGTTTGCAAAACAAGAATTACAGTCCTTGATTAATTGATTTAGGAAAAAAAAAAAAAAAAAACTCATACATACAAGTTAGCAGTTGCAGAGAGAGAGAGGGGAGCAAGCTTGAGAGTTGAGAGACAGCGGCTGAAGCTTGCGAACGGCGAACCCGAACTGGAACAGCGGGCGATGGAACTGAAAGATATGGGTTTTGATTTTTTGAACAATCTGAAATTATATGCCGATACGGGTTTTGATATAGGTAATAGGTTTTCAACTTTTGATTCTTGCAGACAGATAAATAAACTGAAGTATATGGGTTTTGAACTTCTGATTCTTGTAGATTTTATAGTTTGCCGTTGCAGAGAGAGAGAGAGGGGGGGGCAAGTTCAGAGTTGAGAACGAGAATAGAGATGGAGGCGATTGGGGAGGCTGAAATGATTTGCCCTAAAATTTTAAATTTTTTTTTTTTTTCTGGTGGCCCATCATTCATGGGCCTATAAATTTTGAGGCCTAGGTTGGTCTCTTGGGTCAGGGCCGGCCCTTAATAAAGGTTGAGTAATACACATGGATGACCATACCTTGCGACCCATCAAACGCAAGACTCTCAGACAAATTGGAATTTTTGGAAGCTTGTTTCCGGAAGATGAGCAAATCATTGCCAAAGCCAGCAACGGTGAGTTCTGAGCCATAACGACTCAAACCCAGAACAATGTGTTTTGGAACTTGGCAAAATGTAACGGGTCGGGTTTGTATTTGACTCGACCAGAACCCATAGGAATAAACGTATTTTAATCCAGCCCAATATGGACAATGGCCTTTCTGATTGTCTCATTGGTCTGTATATAGGTGTTGGGCCTCATCAATTTTTTCTTTTTCTTTTTTGTTACATTTATTTTTAATATTTTTCCTTTTCATTTATTTATTTATTTATTTTCATAGTTGGTACTCACATACACATGCTTTTACTGAGGTTTGAACCCATGACCTCCCTTTGGAAAGTAGGGATCTGATACCGCTAGACCACTAGCCTTCTTATTTTGATAAATTATTTTTATTTCCATTTTGGGACGAAATAATTTTGTGATATACTTTGATTAAAAAATATATTTTTTTATGAATAACTATTTAAGGTCCGAATTCGGTAGTTACAAAATTTAATTTATGTTAGTAGGCACATAAATTAATTTAAGTAATGGCGGTTCTCAATCCCTAAATAACTATTCTTTTTTTATGTATAGAATTGACAACTTCTCCCATATACCAAAGTAAAAAGTTTTTCATCAATTATGTATGCTTGTGCGGCGGATCCAGGAATTATTGGGCTAATATTTCTTTGAGTAGGCTAATACTAGTAATTATTATTTATTTATTTTCCCTATGCTAAAATTGGGTATAGTAAAAAAAAAAAATTTGGATGGGTTTGAGCACACCCAAACACTCCCCTTAGCTCCGCCAACTGTGTGCAACAATAATATTCATTATTATAACAACCGCAGTGGGCTAGCTAAAGCCCGCTTTTGGCGATATGGGAGCTCAAAGCTACTGCACCGGCCTATCTGAAAAGGGTGGGGCACACTTTGCCTCGCAGGCCAGATCGCTAAATACCGCCAGCAGAGCCGTGATCGTTATATATTTTTTTTTTTTTCTGTTGCAAAACGGCTCTGTTTTTTTTTTTTTTTTTTTTTTGCCTTTTTTGTTTTATTCTCAAACGCTCCTGGAACAGTGCTGAATAGGTTATTTTGAGCTTTTTTTTCAAAAAATAAAATATAATAAAATTCATTAAATAAAAAATATATTGTCTAAAAATAAATTTTTTTGGGCCAAAACTAAATTAAAAAACCTTTTTTTTTTTTTTTTTTTTTTTTTTTTTTTGCTTTTTTCCCTTAAAATTTGCTCTTTTTATTTTTTTGCTTTAAATTTTAAATGTGTACCACAAACAATGCATTTGGCCGGTAAGGCATTGTTTAGCGGACACAAATAGTGCCTTAACGGCTATAATTTTTTTAAAAATATATATAATTTTTTAAAATATATATATATAATTTTTTTTAACTTTTTTTTAAAAAATAATTAAAATTACAAATTCATCTACTTATTCCCATAGGATTTTGTAATTCTTATTTTCTTATTCCAATTAGTGCCGTTTAGGAAAAGTACAAAAATAAATAAATAATTTTAATTTTTTTTTCTTTTAGAGTAAAAATTCGGAGAGCATGATGGAGTGCATATTTTTGGAGAGCAAAAGCTGCTGACGTGGCTTTTGGAATTGCTGACGTGGCTCTTGAAAAAGTTGATGTTGCATTTTTAGAGAGCTAAAATTCGAGAGACTGGTACAGATGACCTTAATAATTGCATAATTAATTATTAATTTATTTATATACATATGTAGTTCTCTCTCCATGTTGACATAGTTCCATTAATATCAAAGACCCTCGGGCATGTGATTATAGAATAAAACAGAAAAATAAATCTGAAACAGGATCCATCATTGATGGAATAAAATAAAGGAAAGTGATCTAATTTGATGGATTTAACTATGTCAACATTTCTTTACCATATTTCAATAACATGTATATATATATATATATATATATATATATATATATATATATATATATGTATGTATGTATGTATATATATATGTATGTATATATTTTCGAAGGCAAGAAAGAAGATTTCATTTATTCAAAGGAAAAACACATTACAACTTATAGCTAAGGCTGCTTCTTGAATCACTCTGGGAATAGTAAAATCAAACATTATATCACTTTTCTCTTTCAAACTCAGATGGCTCAATACATGAGCTCTGAATGAGCTTTTCTACCAACCCACTACAAAGATATGATTTGAAACTTGGTGTGCAAAAAGCTAATATCGTCCAAAATAGCAGCTATGCAACTTTGAAGACTCTTTAAATCAAGAAGAACTTTGCAGTATATCAAACCAATCGAACTCAACTCAATAAAAATAAAATAAAATAGAAAATTTGAACCAGTGAGAGACCGTTATATTACTCAGAGTAGTAATTTAATTTATGGGTGTAATATCCCGATATTTTAAAAGATTTATTAATTGGTATTAATTACTTTTATTTTATTTTTTTAAAATGATTTGTTTGATTTAATTAGAATTAATTGCTTTTATTATTATTTTTAAATAATTTGTTTTATTTAATTGAGTGGTTAGATTAATTGTCTTATTTTATTTAGATTATATTTTGTAATTATATTTGTTGAATTGATATGTTGTTTTGCTTTGTGGAATATTATGATTGACTTGTTTATTTGATTTGTGTGTATTTATACTTGTGTGAATTGTTTGTTAATTATTTATAATTATTAGATTTAATTTAATTATTTTATTTTAATTGGATTGGGTTTAAGAAGAGTGAGACCAATGGATGTGGTCTTGGGCTTGAAGGAAGCTTTATTGGGTTAATTATTAAAGGTCCATGGTTACGAGGATATTTAAATAATTATCTTTACATAATTATATTTATATATAATCATATGTATATAAATATAATTAATTAATTATCATTATGGAGGGGTATATATGTCAATATATATATATATATTGATATATATAGGTATACATAAATAAATGATTATTTATGGAAGATATTTATATATATAATACAATATCTATGTATATAAATATAAATATATATATATATATATATATTATTTAAAGATTATTATTTTATTTGAGAATCCTAGTTGGAATATGATTTGGATTTTTAATATATATAAATATACACATAAGGTTTTAGGATTTAAGGTTTACACGTTAAAAAAACATAAGAGAGACATAGAGGAAGAAGAAGGGCTGACAAGGAGGAGGATGGATTTGAGAAGGAAGACGTTGGAATTGGAAGAGACAATCAAAACTTGAAGTGTTGGTTTCGTTTCGAAACCTTCATGCGAATTCTTCTCTCTCTTTCCTCTTAGAACTCATAAGAATTTCACCTTGACTATCAAGGTTTTAATTAAATTTATTAATTAAATTATGGTTAGATTTGGTGAATTAAAAGCATGAATTATTATATTTTTATTTTTGGATTTTTGGATTTTATTTAATATATATATGTGTGTGTGTGTGTGTGTTGCATATATGTTAAAAATCAATGTATAGGTTGATCTTGGACCCAATAGGGTTATTTAGGGTTTATAGAACTTCTGGGTATTTTCTGTAAATTTTAATAATTTTTTGGTATTTTTCTATATTTTTTAGGAATTTATTAGATTTATTTTACAATATTTAGTTTGGAAAATTATATATATATATATATATATATATATATATATATATATATATATATATATATGTATATGTATATGTATACTGTTATTATATATGTATAACAACAATAGAAGGCATCTATAGAAACGGCTTAATAGGGATATAATTCGGGGTGGTGCGGTACATGGCAACATGTGCGCACGCGGATTTGGGCTGTTTATATGGCTTGATGAATATTTGTGATTCAGTGTGTCACGGATCATTTTAGTACGGTGCGCATGCGGATCCTGCGGCTAAGATGAGTTGAAGAAGGACAAATAATCTGGTGTGGGCAAGCTTATCTGGACGCAAGAGGTGAACCAATCAGCAGCTGCCAGCACAAGCCGAGAGTGGTTCAGGTGCGTGAGGGCGCGTGCAGGCTCGTGGACGCGCCTGCCAGTGAACTTGAGCGCTTAGGGGCGCGTGCAGTGTGTAGGAGAGTGTGGCGGTGCGTGAGAGCACGTAGGGATGCATGTGATGTCTCGGAAAGTTCCAATGGGGTCTGGTGATGTTCCAGAATTGGTTTTAAGCCTGTTATGGTTGAAACAACCACTAGAGGAGGTGTTCTTGGTGTCCTGAAAGCCATAGAGTGTTACTACAATGATTAGTAACATTTATTTTGCGTAAATATAATAACTTATTATATTGTGATGGAATGTGGTGTGTGTGTGTGTATATATATATATATATATATATATATATAGGATTTAAATATATATATAGGATTTAAAAAATCAAGGATTATTAAGGAATAATTATACACATATTTATTATATAATATATGTGTATATATATATGTTTGTTAATTAAGATTATTAGTGTCATTATTTTTTTTTTTTTTAATATACCTAGATAGGTTGGTTATTCAATTATGATATGCTTATAATTGTATGAGATGTTTATGTATGCATTAGATATCATTGAGTCTAAAGTTGGTACATGGTTGAAGTGTAGACATGGATGAGTTGTCAAATGCTTAAATATACTCTCTTATTATTTGTATGAATAAAATACATACATAGGAAATATGGATGAGTTGCTAATTTTAAAAGTATAAATATATATACTTAAGGAGGCATGGTTGAGTTGCCAGTATATAAACAAATATATTTATAACGGCATGATTGATTTGCCAAAGTATAATTAAATTGTTATGTGGTAGATGTTTGAATTGCATCTAGGATTATTGTATCTATAACTTGGAGTTGATAGATATTCTTCTACTAGAATAATCTACTATTTAAAAGGGTAGTTATATTATTTTATAATATTAATAAAATAATATTGTAGAAGGAATGGATGAATTGTCAAAGTAGAAATATTTGCTTTATGATTTATATAAATGAAATCATTCATTAGTGGTTATAAGGTTTTTTATTAAAGGAATTATTCCTTAGATTATGATTTATTATTTAAATGATTAAATAATTATTTAGAATGGAATTAAGGTTAAATGAGTTTCTCTTTAAAAGAAAATGAGATTGTGGATTGGTTTAGGTATGATTATGTTTTAATCATGGTTTAAATGGTTTGAAAATTAATGAATCTATTAATGGATGTGAAAGTTAATTACATATAATTATTTATATATATGTGTAACATTGTATATTAAAGATAAAAGACTTTATTAGAATTGGATTTGTTAGAAATGATATTTTTATTGGTTTTCAGATGCCTGGTAGAGAGAGCTTACTCGTAGGGTTTAACCCACGATTTATTTTTCAGGTTGTTAGAAGTTCAAGTCTCAAGGTTGAGGATTCGCAGCTGAAGGACTTATTTATTATTTCTATTTATTTCAAAGTAGGTTATTATTACTTCAGTAATTATTAATGGATTTATGGATAGTGAATTTTGGTTAAGGGGTCCTTGAGTTATGGGATTCCCGAGTTGTAACCATTGGCAAGTTATTAAAGAAAATTCTTATTTATTAGTTTTTCTTCAGCGTATTATTTATTCTTTTATTTCATTTTATACTCCGTGCTTGTTTAAAATATTTTAATTGTTTTAATATCCTTTAATTTTGTGCGCGGTTTTAATCAACCCGTGTTCCGAAATTAGGGGATATCACAATGGGTAATTGGTCTCATCACATAATATCATGATGATATCATATAATAGGGACTACTAACTATCGAATTAGATTCTTAAATCATTATTATATTAATTATGTTTGTCATTTTTATTCTCAAAATTCATGTTCTTTGAAAAGACAATAGAGCATTTCCTCACTTTTCAAAATACAAAATTGAGGATTTAAATTTCTATAAAAGTAACGTAAATATGTGAATTTTTTTTCAATATAAAAAAAAAATATATATATATATAAAATAACATGCCGTAGCTCAACACATGTATCAAACCTCGGTTCCTTAATTCTAATGCACCTCCTTGATGGATTGTCCTTGGAAAAGTTTTGGGATCTTCTAAAACTGATCATGTAGATCAAATAACAATAGAAAATAACCAAACACATGGAGATCTTGTGAACCCCAAATCAAAGAAAATGGGATTCCAATACAAGCATTGAGTCCAAAAGACAGAAATGCGAGCCCAAGATGGCTCTCCCCATGACATTGTTTACTTGCACAGCTTTAGCAAGTTACGTCCACGATGTAGAAATTTTACTATATGTTAAAGCGACAATAAATACAGAGTTTAAAATGAATTAGAATAATAATATATAATTCGAAAGTCTAATGTATTTGAATGATTTACCTGAATGGAGATGACATCATAATGACAATATGATGGCGTCATCGTGATATCATCACCATCTCACGTAAATTTAATGTGGTGTGTCAAATTTCCTTAACTCAATGAATAAATTACCCTTAAGTTCAAAAATATACTAAAATATATATTCTCTTTGTACCAAAATATGAGGAATCCATTGATAAGAGTGAAGTTTCAAATATACACTTGTTAGAAGACAAAATAGTGCTTCATAATTAATGCACTTGTTTAGTTAAAAAGATAGTTTGAGAATGTTATTAAAAATAGTACATCCAAATGAGATATGTTTTTTTTGAGACATCTCAAAATAGAAAGATTGGACAAATATTTTGAAGCTAAAGAAATAATATTTATTAGATCCCACACTATCTGTCATAAAATGAATTTTTTTTATCAATAGTCGAAATCTTATTCACATTCAACGGTGGTTTGTTTGAATATTAAATTTTCCTCCAGACATCTATATAATGAAAACTTGACTAATTATGTAACCAAGATTTAATATGATTTTGATGGAGAATCAGAATATTGGGTTGCAGAATTAGTGCTCACAAATAGCTATATATAATTATAGTACCATAAATAATGAGATTGAAGTTAATGAACTAGCACACATAATCACAATGGCAATTTATTTTTCCTTTTGTGTGTGTAACTATCCCCTACTATAACAGGTTCCTTTTTTGAACTTCTGAATTTCAACAGGTTTGTGAAAAATAAAATAAAATAAATTTCAACAGGTTTCTTTTTTTCGCTAAAGTTAATACTGAGATAAAAATAATGAATAAAATAAAAATGAAAATAAAAATTCCTTTTGTGTGTGCTTGTGTGTGAGAGAGAGAGAGATCAGCATTTTCTCCATCTTATAATATTCTTTTGCCATTTTTGAGAGGTTGCGTATGAGTAAGGCAGTCATATAAAAGGTTGAGAACTCATGTGAAAGTCTGAATTTCAACAGGTTTTTTTTTTTCTGCTAAAATTAATTCTGAGTAGCACTGTTATTCCAAAAAAAGAAAAAAAAGAAAAGAAAAGAAAAGAAAGAATAATCATCAACAAGAATATTAAAAATAGCACAAGGGTTAATTTGAAATTAATAATTCATGTACCGAAAATGTCTAGATTTGTAATGCAATTCCGTGAATGGTAGCAGTAATTAGCAGAAGCTGTAAATATCCATTAACCAAAATAATTAAAGATAAAAAGGCAAAAAAAAAAAATCAAAGAAATTTATAAACTAGAAAGATTAGCCAATCTAATTATTTCCTTGCAAAACCAATTTAATGTCAATTTAGAATAGATGACTTATAATAAAATACTAAAAACTAAAGCATTTGGAAAGGGACAACTTTCGGAGGTTCAAAATCGACATCTCTAATTAAAGGGCCTTTGGCCCAATAGTATAATCTCTCCATCTTCAAAGAAGGGAAGGGGGGGGGGGGGGTTCGAGCCCCGACTGGGCAAAAAAGTATGTGTGTGTGTTTGCTTTATCATCAAAAAAAAAAAAAAAAAAATGAACATCTCTATCCACGGCATCTGTGCCCCAACAATGAGATCAGCTCATGAGATGATCTTCACCCTTCTCAATGCACCGAAAAGAATTTTAGTTTTTTATCATTTATGTATCAAGGCTGCAAGATCAAATCTACCAACAATAATACTCATTTCCATAAAATAAAAAATCTAACAATTTATGAATTACCAAATTTAAAAGAAAAATCATAACGCTATGTTTGGCAGACAAGGAATTAGGGCTTTAAAATTGGAGAAAAATAACTTAAAAAATTGAATCAAAATTTTCTTCAATTCCACCGATTCCATGAGTTCAATTTCATGCCGTCAAACAAAAAGTGTTCGCCTATATGATTGAGTTTTAGAATAGGTGGAATTTTGAACAAAATATTGGTTCATATATATATATTTTTTTAAATTCCAACTGTTTTAGTTTTAATTTTAAAACTCCAATTCCATGTGACCAGGAGCCGGCACTAAAGAAATATATATACATATATATATATATATATATATATAAATGCAAAGCATCCAACAGTACAAAAAACACACAGAAGCCAAAAGCTAGCCAACCTTAACACCGAAAGTGTCAAAGCCAATCCCCAACAAAAGCACATGCTTTCTCCCCTTACTCTCACTCCCAAAAGGGTTCATTTAACCTTGCCTACACCTACATATTTATATATATCCCAGCACACTTAATTAGCACATCTCTACTCCTCTTCCCCTCTCTCTCTCTCTCTCTCTCTCTCTCACACACACACACACACACACACACACACACACACAACCATGCAGCTCAAGCATTCTTCCATCACTCTTCTAATCACCCTAATTCCTCTCATATTTCTTCCCTCAATCTCATCCCAATCCTGCCAAACAACCTGCGGAAAACAACTCATCAGATACCCTTTTGGCACCGGCCTCGGATGCGGCAGCCCGCGCTTCCAAAACTACGTAACTTGCAACCAACACCAACTCACCTTCACCACCCACACAGGCTGCTACCCCATCACCTCCATAGACTACATTAACCAAGTCATATACATCTCCGATGCCACCATGTCAACCTGCACCTGCACCCAACCAAGCAAAGGCTTCGGCCTGGACTGGGACGCGCCATTTAGCCTCCACGACGACAACATCTTTGCTCTGCTCGATTGCTCCACCGATTCCTCACCACTCTACAAGTCCAGTGGTGGAAGCAATGCCACCGCGGCCGCGGTCCCTCTCTGTGACACTGAGGACGCGCCCATCTGCAGCCTCCTCTATTCCTGCCAACCGGTCAGCAGAATCGACATCCCGGTCTCTACGTGCTGTGTTTACACGCCGGTTGACCTTGGACCGGCTTTTGAAATCGATCTGCAGAAGCTGCAGTGCGCTTCGTACTCCGGGTTCTACAGCTTTAATGGCCGTGAATCTGATCCAGCGAATTGGGCATATGGGGTGGCACTTAAATACAAGTTCAATGTCAATAACGATTATCCAGCACTGTGTGTTAATTGCGAGAGGAGTCGTGGTGCTTGTGGATATAGTGACCCCTATGATTCATTTGTCTGCTACTGTCCTACTTATGGGATGAACACATCAACGGATTGTTTCTATGCAGCATCTTTGAGCAATGGTTCAGGACTTTTCCCGTGGCAGACCGGTATCTGTTGTGTGTTTGTGTGTGTGTTTTTGTGTGTGCATCTTTGATGTTCTAAAATTTTGATCATCTTTGTTGTTGCAGGGAGTTGGTTGATCTACAGTCTGGCATGTTTTCTGATCGTATGGTTGTCTTCGTAGGCTATGAAGATCAGAGGGTGGAAAATGAAAATCCAAACAAATTACAATGCTGAGATTGGACTTTCTTTGCTTGTTGAGATAGGGACATTCAAGTTTTTAATCCCTTAATTGCTTATTGTAGATTGTGAATATGTTGGAATTCTAATGTTGAAAAATCAAATTACAACTCTATGGTTAATTGTCTTATGGTGTTTCATTTAATATGATTTATATAACCTCCATGTCATGAAGCATAGAATCAGGCCATAACCACTCAGAAATGGTACTTTCATGCAATTATGTTTTCATCAATACAACTTATTATGAACACTCTCAGTTTACCAATATGAATTTTATTTATTAAAAAAAAAAAAAAATGGAAATAATATTACATAAAAATGTGACAAAAATCAAAGGTAGAACACCCCAATGTTAAAGTAATTTACATGAGAGTGTGATACAGCTTGGAAAGTAGACCATTAAGACCTTGAGGATATTGGTTGTATTTTAAAATGTGATATCTGTGAATTCAAATGGAATAAGGTTCCTTCTTTTAAGCACTTCTCCACTGAGAAAGAATCACTTTCATTATATATATATATATATATAAAAGGTTCTTTCTTTATCCTTGCTTCTTTCAGAACCTCTTGACAGTGATCTAGAAAAGCTTTATACCTACAATTTATTCTCAGAAATCATTCATATCCCCACTTCCTAGGCAAATTCCCGCACTTGGCTAAAAAGTTCTCTATGCAGTTCGTGGGAAATTAGTGGTGGCATCACAAGGACAATGATGACCGATAACTACAACAATTAAAGAATTAACACAGATTGAAGATGTGTAGAACACACACACACACACACATAATGTGTTTAATACCATTCCAGAGCTCAATAATGCAACTTCTTTTTATTCTAAATTCAACAGTATAACTTCATTCATCCGAAGAGATATATTTTAAGCAAGAAACACTATAATCGGTTCAATGGTACTTGTACTCACTGCTCTTAATTTCAAGTTCATGGTCAAGGTTTTGTTGATACATGAATGCTGCATAAAATTTGGTTCATCAACATGATTTCATTCCGTCAAATTCACAAACACATGGTTAATTAGGAGCAATTCACAAATAAGAATGCTAGACTAGCAAGCATCTAGGTGTTAAATCGGTGAATACAAGATAGATGTATTGTGGGTGTGCGCGTTTGCTTGAATTTTTTTATTTATAAAAAAATCCACCTAACAGAACAACATATGCTGATAATTGATGCACACTAATAGAATATAAAAGACAATTCAACAGAAGCAGGATTTAAATTATATCTTCAATTGAAATTTATTAATCATACATATATTGACACCAAATGTCATTGCAACTTGGAAATGATAAATTGTTAAAAAGAACAAAAAATGAAAAATAAAATGAAAATGAAGCAAACTAGGAAAAGACATGATATCAAGTTATTATTGATCATAAGACCTAATTGGAGAATTTCTTCATCTAGGGGACAACATTGTAAACACCATATGACACAAAATCTTTAGATGATTTGCATGTAATATATGTCTTCTAAAGAGATCCCCAATCTCTCAAATGTCATTTTATGGGAATAATTTTATGTCTTTTGCCTTATCACATACAGAATAGTATACTAGAGAATTTGTTTTCCAAAACATTGAAAGTGTTATTCATTTTCTCCCTATTTTTTTCTTTTTATTGCCAGGCTAATTCAAACCAAAATCATATATCACAACAACGGTTGTGAAAAATCAATCTAATTTTATTGGATTATAAGCCAACTCTTCCTAACGCGTTATCAGATTCAACTTGAGTTTGGACAACATTGCTTAGAACCGGAGTTGTACTTAGGGGATTTGGACTCTCTCCTGTAACATTTTTTTGCGTGTAACTTCATCACAATTTTAATTAAAAATTTTGTTAATTTCACTGATGAATTTCACCACCATAAATTTCACCATTTTGAATTACCACTTTAAATGGTGAATTTCGTCATTTTTATGAATTTCAATCCACAAAATTACCATTTGTGAAATTTTAAAATTTTAAAAATAGATTTTACCATTTTTATAGGCAAGTAAAAATTGGTGAAGTTTTAATACGTAGTATTAAGGGATGATGACCGGTGAGTGTAGAGTTAATTTAAATATGCTTCAGTTCTCAAATTATTGGGTGTTCTTACTCTTCTCTCATTCAGATTACTCTTTCTCTTGACTTGTTTTTTGAAATGATTATTCTTTCTCTTGAATTGAATATATACATACATATATATATATATATCAGTTGACATTAACATAATGTGTAAAAAGAAGAAGAAGAAGAAGAAGAAAAAGGAAAGAAAAATGAGAGAATTTTGAAGGGAGAAAAAATTATATATGATTCAAGAAGGAAATTTTGATTCATTTCTTTAAAGAAATTAAATAAATTTAAAGAGAAAGAAAAGATAATTTTAGGAGCTACAAATATATAAAATTTAATTATTGATGAGTATGTCATCCCCACTAATCTTGATGTGATCTAATCACAAATGAAAAAATAATCTGTAATTACAAAATGAGGAAAGTGATAAATAAAGAAAATATTTTTTTTGGAATTAATTCAGACACCCTATATGACTTCTTTATTTATTATTTTCTAGATTTTGTAATTATAAATTATTTGTGCATTTTTTATTGGACCACCTTAGATGACCTATTCACCGGTTAGTAGGCAAGTCTTGTCCGTAAAAAAATTACCAAAGCTTTGGTAAAGGAATAACAAGTGTAGAGTTGATGTTGTTTTATTTTTATTTATTTATTTATTTATTATTTTGCGTAAAAAAATTACCAAAGCTTTAGTAAAGGAATAACAAGTGTAGAGTTGATGTTGTTTTATTTTTATTTATTTATTATTTTGTCATTAGTAAGAAATTCACGCGCACCCCACTTTGTTTCTTTGAAGAGTTAAACTTTTAGTCTCTCACCATTCACTTTAAAAATTAGAGGAAATAGAATGAATCACAGTACCTTTGTTTGATTAAATGAGAGAAGAATAAAAAAACACATAAACGTGAATACAATAATACAATAATTTCATAACTTAAGAATACAATAATACAATAATTTCATAACTTAAAAAGTGTAGAGTCAATTAAGAAATTATTGTATTATTGGATTCATGTTTAGGTGTTCTTTTACTCTTCTATCACTTAAATTACTCCATTGACTTCTTTTTTGGGATTGATTATATTTTCTCTGAGATTGTACGTGAATTTTTATAAATTAATAAATTATTATTTACTCCTTATTTCGTGAATTTTTATAAAAAATTCTTATTTACTCCTTATTTCGTTCTTTAATTTGCATATACAATTTTGAGTGTATAGATTAGGGGTATGCATTATTTTATTTTTTATTTCTTTGTAACGGTGTTTCAATGAAATTTTAAATTAGAAAAAAAAAAAAAATACCTAGCAAGGCTGTTGAATTTTGGGTTGGGTATAGATTGAGAAGCCCAAGTTACACCCATACGGGCCGGACAGTGGGTTTTCAAACCAACCCGCGAGTCCTTAGTAACAATGATGACGTTATGATATTTGACCGGTTAAGATGTTTTTTGGCCCGCGTTTTTCTCCTCCAAGCTAAAGAACATTCATTGTTTCACTCTCCAATTTTCTTCCATATTTTCCCTCACTTTCCTCCATTTTCTCTCTCTCTCTTTCGTTTCTGATGAATTCAAATTCTCTGCTAGAAGAAAATGGCAGCATCGTCGGCGAGATCGTCCCAGAGAACTTCGACAGCGCCGGTGATAGTCTCAAAGCCTTCAAGCTTAGGAAGTTCCAATGAATTTGGATCCGAACTCCCACTCAGCGATAGGCTCAAAGCCTTCAAGTCTTCGAATTTCGATCCTGAGGCCTATGTCACCAATAAATGCCAAGCCATGAGCGAAAAGGTTACCTTTAATTGAAGTTATAAATATATATATGTATACATTGCGTATATGTGCATATATGTATGAATTGTATATGATGTTAAGTCTGTATTTATCATCAAAATGATTTTGCTAATTATGAAACAAATGAATAGAATGTGTTTTATGTTTTTATCTTTGATTTTAACTTCTCATTTATGAAATATTCAGTGGCTTAGGCACATTATTTTCTCCCTAACAGGGTTCAATATATATATATGCACATATAACTACATAAGAGCCCGCCATTGCCATTTGGTGGAGAGGGTCAGATTTACATAGCTGACAGGCTTAGTCTAATTCCGATTTTGAACCTGTAACTTCGAGGTCACAATGGAGCAACTAATATATATATATATCTAGTTGCTAAGATATAGAACTAATATGTACTATTGCCCCAATAGGGATTTAAACCCTCAAACTCTTGTGCAGAATATACTGAGCTAAACCATATGGCCATCGCAGAGCTAGGATTTTAGCAACAACCTTAAACTATCCAATAAAATAATGTTTTTTTTTTTTTTTTTTTTTAAAACCAAATAACAAGTACGAAAACTTAAATATAGATTGATGCATTTAGCACATTATGTACGTGTTTGGTTAAGCATTCAATTTGTCAATCTGGCTTTTGTTCAATTTGTAAAATTACACTTGAATTGTGATTCATTTGATTATGGGAACTGGTGTTTAATTTGTGAAATAAAAAATTCAAACATGTAGGTGTTGATTAGCATGTTCTTGAAAATTTTGGAATGTTCATCAAATACTTCTCATAATAATAATGATTTGGCAGGTCTTCAGGAAATGGTTTATATAAAAAAAGTTACAAACACAAATTAATCTAAAGTGTAGTTTAGAAAAAGAAATACAGACCATAACATAAGTCATAGAAAATTAAGACCAAAAGGGTTTTTTCGCGCAATTTTGAGAGGGAAAAAGGTTGAGACCACATATGTTCATAAGACTGATACATTAAAAGAAACTGGACATTTGAGTGTATACATTTTTTTCTTCAGTATAATAGTGGTGAAGTTGTGACAGCTTCATATAGAATGCAGAGCAGAAAATTAACAATTTTTTTTTTTTTGGCATTATCGACAGGAAATAAGGCACTTGTGCCATTACCTTGTAGATTTAAAGAAGGCGTCTGCAGAGGAGATGCGTAAAAGTGTCTACGCTAATTATGCATCCTTTATACGGTGAGCACAGTAAATCGAATTGTGCACATATGATTTTATGAGTGGTAACTGCACAGTAAATCGAATTGTGCATGGTAAATTCCTTTTATACTTCAGTGTTCTCGTTATCTAATTTTTTTGGTTTTTCTAGCTATAATTGTTAGATCCAATTTGCTCCAGTGTTGGCCTTTATTAAAAAATTTCATCGGAATATGATGAAAACCAGCTTACATTACAAGATTGACCGTCGTTTTTAAACTTAATCACAGCATTTATCTTCGTAAGCTTTTTCAAAAACACGACTTAAATTTATAGGAAACATAAGCAAGGTCTTTAATGTAAATATAAACATCCACTGATTATATTTATATGACAGAAAATGTAATGGTTTATGCTTGTGTTTTGCTAGTATCCCTGTAAGATATGTACTCGGAATAGCTGTAGTATTATCATTTTGATACGTGTATGGTTCCCAAGCGGAAGGATCTGACTGCCACAGTGAAAATTCTTAATCTGAAAAAAAAAAAAAAAAAAAAAAAGAGGAAAATCCTGAATGTCAGTGTTTTTATCTGAAGTAGAGAGGAGTGATAGCAGCATATGAAATATCACAGTAACATTTTACTTGTATGTGTGATAGATTATATCATTATATTTTTATTTCTATGACTACACCACTCTATCTATAAGAAACAAAGATATTAGGTAGAATCGTAATCTTTGACACCACATTTCTGAAATCTGCATTCCTGTTTGAACTTTCCACATTATAATTTACGACAACAAAGTGAATTTACTTATATATTGTATTGCAGCAAATTGTACCACAGAGTTGCCAGCCTCGTATTAATTTTTACTCTGTTTCCACATTGCATGCAAGAGACTGTAATGCTTGTCAATCATTTTTTTTGTTTGAAAGTTCAAGCACACACACTATATCACCAAGTCTTGAACACTCAACCTCCCCATTTGGGGATGAGATCTTATTATTTAATTATTCTAACACGGGTGCTTAATATTTTAAGTATTCTAACTCATTATATCGGTGTGTATGAGTTTGACACTATGCTGCCTCTAATTTTTTACTCTACAGGTACTTCATAATTATATGATAAAGTTATATCCATCTCGTTGCAGCTTAATCTTGGGTAAAGTGCAAAAAATTCCCCTATTATATAAAAATTGGGCACAAAACAACCTTTCTGTTTAGTATGAGCATATAACCCCTCAACATTTGACAAAATTGTGCAAATTGCCGACTGTCAATTTTGACCAAAAATTTTAACAAAAATCATAAAATACCCTTTTTGTTTTTCTGAGAGAGTATTTGTTTTTTATTGTATTTTTCGTTAATGCATTTTAGGTATTTCAGTCTGCAAAATTTGAAAAATGCAGTTTTGTTTTTTTTTTTCAACATCAAGAGGGTTTTCACATATTTTGTATATAACAGGGTTTCTTTTTGCACTTTCCCCTCTTTATTTCCCTTGGCTAGATTTGCAAATGAATGTCATGCTACTCAGACTTGATTATTATATATTTTTGTTTCTAACGTATAAGAAAATTAGTGTTGTCTAGAAATTCTTTGAATTCCTTTGCTCCCTTAATCTTGCAGTTCTTGAACTGATGTACGCATCAAAAGGATGCTTCTGTTTTGAATCAATAATTGATCATAAATACCTCTTCAGCGAATCCAGAATGTTGGTTTATAACACAGAGAACTATCTCATTATGTTTGCATATGCAGCACATCTAAGGAGATTTCTGCTCTTGAGGTCCAGCTCCTTCACTTGAAAAATCTCCTATCTACCCAGGCAGCTATTATTCAGGGTTTAGCTGAAGGAATGCATGTTGATTCCTTGTTTTCTGGTCCTGAAGGTTCTACAAAAGAAGACATAATTAATGTTGAAGACCGCGAACCTTCAAAGATAGAGAAATGGTTAGGGGAATTTGTGGAGCACCTTGAAGTTTTACTGGCTGAGAGGAGAGTGGATGAAGCTTTGGCCGCACTGGATGAAGGGGAACATATGTCTGTGGAAATTAACCGCAAACAAAAATTGACCCCATCGGCATTCTTATCATTGCAGACTACAATTACGGAACAGAGACAAAAATTAGCTGATCAGCTTGCAGAGGCTGCTCTCCAGCCCTGTACCCGTGGTGTTGAGCTTCGCATAGTTGTACAAGCTCTGAAACAACTCGGGGATGGTCCCCGTGCTCACACGTTGCTACTTAAATCTCACCACTTGAAGTTGCAACGTAGCATGCTAGATCTTCACCCATCTGGTACTTCACATGGAGCAGCCTATACTGCTGGTCTTTCACAACTTGTATTTTCAACTATTGCTCAGGCAGCAAGTGATTCCTTGGCTGTTTATGGAGATGAGCCTGCATATTCGTCTGAGCTTGTAACTTGGGCTGTCAAGCAGGCTCAGGCTTTTGCTCTTCTTGTTAAAAGACATGTTCTAGCCTCAGCAGCTGCTTCGGGAGGTCTAAGAGTTGTTGCAGAGAGTGTTCAAATATGCTTGGGTTATTGTTCTTTGTTAGAAGCTCGTGGATTGGCCCTTTCTCCCGTCCTCTTGAAAATCGTCAGGCCTTGTGTTGAACAAGCAGTGACTGCCAACTTAAAAAGAATTGAACATAGCACTGCTGCATTTGCTGCTGCAGATGATTGGTCACTTTCTTATCCACCAGTTAGTATACGGCCTTTGGGCACATCTCTTGGTAGTGTGATTGCATCCCAGCCAAAGCTTTCTAGCAGTGCTCACAGATTCAATTCAATGGTTCAGGTGATTAATGTGTTCCATTCTTTAAAATGTCATAACATTGGAACCACATCATTGTGTTCCTTTTCTTGTTGGCTACGCAAGCAATTCTTGTTGCCTCATTCCATCAAATTCCAACTATTAAGTGCAAGACACAATTAGAAGCACTGAATTTAGTTCACAATACGTAATAAAACATCCTTCGATATTGACTGTTCATCAAATTTTATACTTTTATCAGGATTTCTGTGAGGATGTCGGTTCCCTTGAGAGCTTGCAGTTGACAGACCATGCTTTGGAAGGTGTCTTGCAAGCTTTCAACTCGTATGTCAATATGCTGATAAATGCGTTGCCAGGTTCAATGGAGACAGAGAACTTGGAGGGGTCCGGGAGTAGAATCGTTAGGATGGCAGAGTCTGAAGCCCAACAGATAGCTTTGCTAGCTAATGCATTATTATTGGCAGATGAACTGCTCCCACGAGCTGCTACCAAACTTTCATGCTTCCAGCAGACTAATAGAATAGATGACCCCCCTAGACGGTCTTCAGACAGGCAAAACCGTGCTCCAGAACAAAGAGAACTGAAAAGGAGACTTCAACGTTTGGTGGATCAGCTGCGAGATAGCTTCTGCCGACAACACGCCCTTGATCTCATCTTTACAGAAGATGGTGGCGTCCGTCTCAGTTCAGATATGTACATAAGTATGGATGACACTGCAGATGAGCCCGAATGGTTTCCATCTCCTATATATCAGGTAATCCAGTATGAATTGTAAGTTTATCTCTTCTTTGAGAAATTGTGCTTTTGCTCAATATAACAAGGACAATGCATGAGAGGCTGGTTCTTGAACAAATATGAGACATTGAAAATTGAACTATGGAACAAAATGAACTCCGACACTATGACTTAATTTGGTGCTTGAAAATGGGGATTTGACATGAACAAGTGTTAGAGACATCTACGGAGTAAAAGCGCTAGGCCATGAGCACCTTTTCTGCATACGTTTTTAGTTAAAGTGAACCATAACTGCAAGCTTCTACTTTTTGTTCTGCTAATTTTGCACAGTATCTTGTTTCTTTTATGTACTCGTGTCACGAATGACAGTCTGTTATGTCAATAATGAAATTAAGATACCTTGAGGTATGCTTGATGCAGTGGAAGCATGAGATTGGAGTCATTTGACCTTTCCATTTTGAGTTCATAAATGTTGCTTAATACAAACCTAATCAAATTTATTTGTAATGATTATTATAGAATATGGCTTCTAACTGATATAATAAACCTACTTCATTAAGGAATTTGCAACTATAGTTTCCCGGGCATTGTTTTTTGCAGATTGATATGGCAACAGCAATTAGGCCCCGTCTGTCACACTTTACCACTGTATTCTAAATTGTTTTGTCGAGATCCAATATAATTTATCATTACTTATATTTTCATTCAGGAACTGTTTGCAAAGTTGACTCGGATGGTAAGCATTGCATCAGATATGTTTGTGGGAAGGGAAAGGTTTGCGACTGTTTTATTGATGAGACTCACAGAGACTGTCATCCTGTGGCTATCTGATGACCAAACCTTTTGGGAAGAGATTGAGGCGGAGGCAAAACCTTTGGGTCCTCTTGGCCTTCAACAGGTTCCTTTTTCTTTTCTTTATATATATATATATATTTGTGTAAATATTATATCTATATTCTCTAACATGTATTAAAATTATGATACAAGTAAATGATCTTCTCTGCACCCTGTGTTGATGATTTGTAAGTTATGTCTTCAATCCACCAACCAACTGGGGAAAAAGAAGTAACTGAAATTCAAAATGGCATATTTTGTGCAGTTTTATTTGGATATGGAGTTTGTGATACTCTTTTCATCCCAAGGACGTTACCTATCTCGGAATCTGCATCAAGTTATCAAAAACATAATAAGTAGAGCAATTGAAGCAGTTGCAGCAACTGGATTAGATCCTTACAGGTATGTATACTTTGGAAAAAGGAAAGGAAGGAGTGGAAGCTTGAGTCAATATATTTTTGACTTATGCTTTATAGAGGTTTTGCTTCATTTCTTTGATGTTTTTATCCTTTCTTTCTTGATTAAGGATTTTAGTTGCACGCTTATGAACCTGTATTCTCTCCTATAAAATTTCATCTTATACCGCATCCTGTGCTGCTACATCGCTTAAGCAACAATTTACATCCTTTATGCAACAATTTCACATTGCTTATGCAACAACTACATTTCATCGTTATTTCATTATGTTGCATTTCGTCGTGAGGCTGTTGCACTAGAGGTACAAGACACGGCACAGGACTCCCCTCCACAGGAGCAGATCCGGATTCTAGGTTTACTTTGTGGCACAGTCATTTTAGGCAACTGCCTTGGGCACACAGGCAATGAAAGTTGCCTAAAATGTATTGGTAAAGGGTAATTGTTGCCCAAAAGGTCATAATTAGGTCATGATTGAGTAAATGATATTTGAAAGTTATTGATAGTCTTTTGCCTTGTGTCAATTTTGTGGACTGGTGATTGCCTTAGAGAATGTCGTGAACATGCTCCTTGAAAATCATTGTGACAAAACCTTTGTTTTGGCAGATTATTGCCGGAGGAGGATTGGTTTGCTGAGGTTGCCCAAATAGCAATAAAGATGTTGACCGGAAAAGCAAACTTTGGTACCGATGAACGAGATGTTATCAGTCCAACTGCATCTGTATCAGGAAAATCTATATCATCAATCTTATCTCATGGAAGTAACTAGTGTCCAAGTGCATACTAAAGAGAAGATGATTGAGAATCATCTTCAGTTATCTAGGTTGCTATTTGCTTATGGAGAACAAGCCTTTTTTCGGCTAGCTAGTGTGATCATCAGAGTGCATATCAGACCCTGCATGGGTAATGCACTTTTGGTGCTTGTTGTAACTATGCAAATCCAGACATTTGCAGAACGTCTCGTGGATTCGTGAGTTTCTCTACTCATGCATCTTCATTGGATGTTCCTAACCAGTTTACGGCCATTTTAACATCCCCTGAAGCACTCAATTGTTTTCTTACCTACAATTTTGAAATTTATCCAGTGTGTTCTGATAGCTTATAGTGAGTACATCCATTTTTTAGTACTTGACAGTGTTGAGAATGCTAGGGATTTGAATACATCTGGTTGATTGCTTTGTAAATAGGACATGCTTATTCAACTGCTGTGGAGGTTATAAACTACTCCCATTATTTAACACTCGTATATTAAGAAAATTATAATTAGGTACTCCATTTAACAGTTTTTAGTAACCTCCTTGAGGTTGATTATAGTGCATTTTGATTCATTTCCACAATGTCCAGAATCACAATCGAATAGCAAATATATTGTAAGAACTCAAATTGACAAACCGTCAGAGGAAAAAAGTCAATACCCCTGGCCTTTGTACAAAATAATTGTTTACAAAGGTTAGGTCTATTTCTAATCTTTTCTTCTCAACAACTCACAAATACAAGATATAAAATGTATAGATAATTTACTTTTTTAGAAAATTGCTACACTTGGGGAGTCTATTGTTTTGGTCTGTAAAACTTTCTTATCTTTGTGACCAAGAGAAGAGGGGTTCCTATAACTGATAGGGAAGACCTGGCAACTATATCCAGTTGCTCAACTGAAGTACTCTGAAACAACTAACCACTTTCAGGGCATTCTTCAGTTGGGAAGGTTTACTTGTTTGCCCGGATTTGATACATAAGTGTTTCTATGGCGAGCCCATTTGAGAGTGTTAATTCCATGAACCCTCGGTCAGAAGCTGTCTGCCATCGAGTCCTACACAACTTATGAATCGAGCCTCCCGAGGGCAGCGATTCTCGTAGGAGCTTAGTGGACAATAGCAGCCTCATGCCAACAAACTTTCTTCCCACATAGATCAACCTAATATAACAAAATAAATATCACCATATTGTGTTAATATATGTTAGACCAATAGTGGGGTGAATTGGTCAAATCCTCTTTCTTCACTGCAAACTCAACAAACACATATAGAACATAGAAAACAAAAAGTACAAGGAAACCTCTCAACTAAGGAAAAACCTTGGTTCTTGGCCTCAGCCTATAAATCATCCACTAGCTATATGCAAGTAGTTACACATTCGGCTGTCTCACTCTTTGTACACACCATTGCACAAGCTAAAACACTAGTTTTCACAACCTCTACACACACACACTATCTCAACACAGTGCGTACATGCATTCCCCTATCCTAAACAACCTTGCTTGGACCTTGCAAGCTCTCATAGCTCACCAAATACACCTTAACAGAAGTAAAACAATGTAAACAAATCTTCACCTACAATGGAATAGGTTAGACACTTCATCAATCCAATTTTTTTTGCCTCAGAAGCCCTTTCTGCATAAGCTAGGGTTTGAGGGGTAGAAATGGAAATTCGAGTTACGATAATTCAGCGGCTCTTTCCACAGTCTTGTATTAGTATATTACTCATGCTCAGATGCAAAACATATGAGTTACAACATGGATGTATCACTAAGCTCATACAAAGACCTCACAACAACAATTTCACAACCAAGCCTTAGGGTTTTGTGATGCTACCTAGCATGTGCACAAAATAATGCACAAAACTTTAGGTTTAGAAATAATGTCAAGTGGGCATCATATTTTAAAATTTATAAAACCACTAAACACTTATATTATTGAGTATGAAGTGAGAAGGGATCGTCCCAAGAAATCTAAACAATTATAGGTTTTCGGAATTGAATTCTACTTTAGCGCTTATGTGATTGCTAAAAAGGGTTTTGTTTTGTGAGTAGAACTAATTTTAAGCTAAATGATTGCAATAAAATAATAGAGTTTAAAAGATAAGAAAGAGACTTAGGGTGTAAGATTCACCACTAAGCACATTCCCTAACTCACGCACTTTCAACTAATTGGGAAAATAATTAAATGTAATTCTAAGCTAACTAATACTTGCAAAGAAAAGTATGAAGTATCAATTTTAAGCTTAAATTGCCTACCTAATGACAAATAAACTAAGTGTAGTGCAATTCACCAATCCAAAGAATGGTCCATCAATTCAAGTTACAATTCTAGCCTACATTAATCTAGAGGATAATGTATTTGTGACAATAAGCATGGAATTCAAACACAAGCATGGATGGTCTACTTACCTAGGAAATAAGGGCAATTAAACTAATTAAATTTAAATTGAACTAACTAAGCATGAAATTAAACTAATTAGAAGATGAATTAACCTAATTGTGTAGTACCATCCATCTAGTAAAAACAATATCCATCAAATTGGAATACAAATACAACTAATTAGCCACATGCATAGACATCACAAGAATCAATTTACAAGGAATTCAAGTGTAAAGCTTGTTTATTTATTAACAACACATAAGACAACATGAGATTAATAAGAATAAACAATTGAAAGAATTAAATCATGTTATGCAAGCCTGTACATCAATTACATAAATAAATCCCCAAAAAGTATGAAAAGAAAGAAAGTTTAGGTTACATGCTTAGGGTTTACCTAACCCTAAGTTGAAGAATTAGCCGCTCATGATTGATGGACTCAAGGTGTCATCAAGTTCCATCATCTGCTTCATCATCTCTGAGTCTCTTCTCAAAACCCTAGCCTGTTTTTGCTTTTCCTCCCTTTCTCGCGTTTTTCAGAGAGAGCGTAATATCACGATACAGAATATAAAACTTAATAATAAAATAAATAAAAACTCCCTATTAAAATAATGAAAAACTAACCCAAAAAAATAATGGTTCACTGGGCCGTAAGTAACAAGCCTATTAGAGCCAAATAGGTTACAAAATAAGCCCAAATAAGTGAATCCCATAACCATTAAAATAAGATACTCCCGTAACTGGTCTGCTGCCAGTAGCATGGCATCCAGATGTAGGTTTTGGCTATTGTCTCGATGTTCTGCTTGACTCCAAAAATGTGATAATGGACCGATTTAAACCCGTTTAAACTTTATTGCCCTGAAATACACATAAACATAAATTAGGACTAAAACATAAAAATAAGATAAATGCAAAGACTAAATATCCTAGCTTAGGTGTTGAAATATGCAACATTTATGCACTTATCACGCCCCCAAACTTAGATATTGCTAGTCCCTAGCAATGAACTACAGTATGAAAATTAAACAAATATATATACAACTGTGAATTAATAAAGCAAATAAAAATAACACCACTTTCGTAGGGATCACGGTTGCATTTAGCATAGGTAACAAGCCTTTAAAACCCCTAGGTTACCCCTAGTGGACGAGTGAAGTCTCGTGAAGGTTTCTAGAAATGGTACCCACAAATATCAACAGCTCTTTCTTACTTGAGAAACAACGAGACATATCAAACAAGTGTTGAAAGTAGACTACTTCAAATATGTAAATTTCTGCCATTTCTAAGCTATTCTCAACATTTCAACATCATGTAAGCAAAAATGGTCCTCTACACATCAAGCAAGTTAATCATGCAATTTGAATCAATTCTATCATCCTTTTTGAGTGAACCGGCATCAAAATGTGTTACTATCCTAGCAAATCAAAATCATGGCATAGCCTTACTCTCAAACTAGCATACAGATAGAGTACCAATCATCAAGATATTGAATGAATCTTGTTATTCAATCAAACATTATTCTTTTATTTAATTGATTTCATTTTTGTTTTTTCCTTTCACCTTTGGTAAATGTTTTTTTTTTTTTTTTTTTTGGTTCCTCACCTTTGGTGAGTGCTTTTATTTCTTTTCTTTGTAAGGTCATTTTATCAAGAATGAAAGCTTTCAAAGCATACTAACTCAATTGGAATAAACCAAGACAATAATCAACTAAGCATGTACCCCACAAATTGAATGCTAGTGTACATAAGTGCAAGTGTAGAATAAACTCTCAAAACATTTTCGACCAACGAGATGATGTGTACCACAAAAGCATACAAGAAGTATTAGGCTCTAACAACTTGCTTTTCAAAGGCACTATGCTTCAAAAGTTCAAGATCATTGCCAAATACATCTCAAATCTCATCATGCATTTAAAGCTCAACTTAAAATAGAATGAATCATGATTACCTTACTCCGAAACTTAAACTGCACATTGTCCTCAATGTGCAATGAGAACAATGAAAAAGATGGAAAAAGTATACTGTGATGACAAAAGTTTATGAAGCCCGGCAATGATCCATTATGAGAGAGGTTGCCCCCAAACTTGGGTTCAAAAACCTACTGAAAAGTCACACTAGTAACTCACATCAAATATCAAATGGGATAAAAATCATACATTCCAAAACAATATAGAAAACAATGCAAAGAGATATGAGATAAAGCCCTTGGGAACACATATTTTTTGAATATTTAATCTGTTTTTTTTTTTTTTTTTTTTTTTAACGTTTATTTTTTATTTTTTATTTTTTATTTATGAATGCATAAATGTACAAAAGAAAAAAAAATAAATAAATAAAAGAAGAAAATAAACTAATAATAAAATACATAATTTTTTTTTTATATGAAACGAAGGAGGAACTCGATACAACTAGTGTTTAACGTCGCTAGAAAGACGTGAAATACTCTCAATCTTCAAAGTAAATGGGATCCACCAAGAGAGTGGATTCCACATTTCTTTAAAGAACTTGGCCATCAATGTATGGTTTAAGCCTTTGACCATTAATCTTGAAGGTCCCTTCATCTTTTAGATTTTGAAGTTCAACCGCCCAATGAGGTGAGACGGAGATGATTAGATAAGGGCCTTCCCATTTGG